CTGCTCTGTCTGGAAGCTCCTCAGATGAAAAAGACTACATGAGTGCTAAGTAGAATGATTAATATTTTTAAGTACATAGGAACAAAGGAACAGCACTGTCGTCCTAGACTAAATCCTTGATCCAGCCATGCCTGTGTCCTGTCTCCGACATCTGACATTTCAGAGGAATGCAAAACCCCCCCTCCCTAACTCCATCCAGCCAGAGCCATGTATGCAATACTGGATATGGTGTTTGTCTGTGCGGAAGGATAACCCCTAGAGAGGACCACTGTATGCTTTGAAGCATGTAGTTTAATTACCTGTATTGTTACCTTTAATAGCAGAACTCCAAAGTGGCATTAATGGTGGTAAAATTACCCAGTTCTTTTAACATTCAGCTCTAAAAGCAAGGGCGCTGGCACTAAGCTGGCATAGTTCCACTGAAGCCAATGAAGATGTGCCAGTTTACAACAGCTGAGGACCTGGACGCTGTCTGCGGCTGCAGTCAGTTCTCTCATGAGTTTCACCCCAGTTTACAGCAATGTTTCCCACTTTGGCTCTTGACAAGCATCTCTATGATTGCGGGCTGCACATTTATGAGCATATTCTAGGTTTGATCTCCACTTAGGCTATGTGGCACAAGGGGGAACACAGAGTGACTGGGCTGGGCTTAACTTTCCTACTTTGACTTGATCCGTATCTAAAAAGCTGTGTGTAGCCCTGTAGCTGGGCATTCCCCCCCCCCGCCCCCCAATAATGCTGGGAGGATTCTGAGTAATGACCACGGGCAATATGAGGCTTTTGGCAGGAGGCGCCAGCCTGTTGCTGGTTCAGGAAAGAAAAGAAAGAGGCTTTTAAAAATGATGAAACACAGTGGCAACATTTAGAGATGGGGTGGGGGTGGGGGAAACCAATAAGGGTTTCATTCAGCGATGTATCCAAATAGCGTGGTAACTGAAGATCATATCCTACTGTGGGACTTCTCCCAAATCACTTCTGTCTTGCTCCTCACAAGTTACCCTCTGGGCCTCTCTCCTCATACAAATTCCCATCTCTTTAGCTCTTCCCCTTATCTAACATGCTCTTTCTGTGGGAGGACCTGCAACTTGCCGCCCAGATCTGATGTCTTCTGAGAGTGACTGGTAATCCTCCCTTATCTGGGCTCTCAGGAGAGCGGCCAGAAGGTCCACTTCTGCTTCCTGCTTCTTTCTGAGATGTAGTGGAGAGGCAGAGACGCCTTTCTCCCACTAAATTCCTCCTGTGGGCATCTCTTGGGATTGGGAAATTTGATAGCGCCTTTGATAACTCAGGAGCAACCATTGTTTCTGGCCCTTTAAAAGCTGGCATTATGTCACAGAGTAGCTTGGTTTTTCAAGCCGTCCCCATTTCCAAATCAAGCGTTGGAGAACAATTGCTCCCCTGCCTCCGCAAATGATTCATGGATTTGAAAGGGGTAGTCACATTTCAGTGCGCACGTCTATGTGTCTTACCGCTTTGATCCTAGTGCTTACAGCACACTGCAAATACAGTAAAGGTTGCATAACTAATAAGTAGGAAAATATGTTGTCATTCCAGTTTTGTGAGGGCCTTGAAACAAATCTGTCCCACTCAAAGGGAAAAACTATACAGACACCATTGGCAGAGGCTGGGGTGGGGGGGGAGAGCAACCAAACCTGCGCTTGCCCTACTGAAATGCGCAAACACTGTGCATCACCCTTTCTTGATGTTTAGTTGTGTTTATTTGCTAGTGTCTCCCTGCCTGCAGCTTCACCAGTCAGCAAAACTCCAGGGCTTCTTTCTAGCTGCTACCTATTGGCAGCAGTGCCAACACATCCCAGAAAGCTTTCTGGAGTGTATCAGTATTTTAGCCCCATCTAACTAGTCACAGCACAGAAAAGAAACTGAGGCAGGGCAGTTGGGATTATTTTTTATTTTAATTTTGGTAGGACCTAGAATATGCTGCAGTAGCTACCAATTAGAAAAATCCCATCACAAAGACTATGCAGTCTAGGCTACCACGTGGGCCTTGCAAACTAAGATGACAATAGGAATAGGAAGCAATTCTAGTTGGTGAGAGATAGGACTTGGTAAGGAGAGGGTATAATTACACTTGGGGAGAGGACAAGGGCAATGCTTGAGAGAGAAAGTTGGGCAACAGTTAGCACTGTTAGAACACGTGTTTTCTCAAAACATGCTGTGTTGTCACAAAGTTTGTTGTGGGGCGAGGGGAAGAGAGCCAGAGACTTATGCTCTAGTGCCTGGTATTCACTGTACTGGCCTAGGATGTGAGAGACACAAGTTCAAGCTCTGGCAGATTTGGAGTGATCTGGGGCCTGGTCTACACTAACCCACCAATTCGAACTAAGGTACGCAACTTCAGCTACGTGAATAACGTAGCTGAAGTCGACATACCTTAGTTCAAACTTACCGCGGTCCAGACGCGGCAGGCAGGCTCCCCCGTTGACTCCGCGTACTGCTCTTGCCGAGCAGGATTACTGGAGTCGACGGCGAGCACTTCTGGGTTTGATTTATCGCGTCCAGACAAGACGCGATAAATCGAACCCGGAAGTTCGATTGCCAGCCGTCGAACTACCGCGTAAGTATAGACAAGCCCTGGGATGAAAAGCTCTGCTCTGAATCAGGAAGGGAAGTAGAGACTTGAACCTGGGACCACTACACACTCCCCTGCCTCCACTCCCCTTAGATTTTGATCCAAAAATGAACATTTCCAGTTTTGTGAAAACATTCTAAAGGAGTGGTCCCCAAACTGTGAGGGCCCAGCCCCCTAGGGGAAATGTGGAGGGACATTGGGGGTGGGGAGATGGCAAGTCCAGGCCAGCCCCAATAGAGGTCAGGGAGGGAGCGCCACAAGCCCCGCTCTGCCCCCCAGCTGCATCCCCATCCCTGTCCCTGCCTTTGGCCCAGCCAGGGCTTCGCTACCGGCCCCAGCCCCACCCCCAGCCTCGGCCCCTGGCTGCAGCTCCATTCCCAGCCTCAGACCCTCCCCCAGCTGCAGGCATGGCCTTGACCCACCTTCTCCCCCCTCCTCCTTGGAGCCACAGCCCTGCTCCTGGCCCTGGTTCCCAGGGCAGCGGGGAAGAGGCACAGACATGGGTAAGGGGGAAGGCACGACCCTGAAATTTTGTGGACCACTGTTCTAAAGGTTTTGAAATGTTGAGTTGCCACAAAACAGCAGTGTCTTTCTGTGGTCAGCTCTAGTGACAATACGCGCCTGTACTAGTTCTGATGCACTCTAATAAGCTGTATATATAAAAGTGTAATTATTATCTTAAGTCTTATGTATGTAATGGCGTTACTGAAGCATGATTCTGCGTTTCCTAGTTAATTCATATAAACTGTTATCTGCCATGTGCTACACATAGGTGCTGGAAATAGGGATGATGGGGGTGCGGCAGCATCTCCTGGCTTGAAGCGGTTTCCCTCATATACAGGGCTTACTGTTTGGTTCAATGGGTTTCAGCACCCCCCATTATAAAAATTGTTCCAGCACCCCTGTTCTACAGGCTGTACATAGGCACTAAAAGCCAATCCACATCCTGAGAAGCTTAAAATCTAAAGCAGCAAGACAAATAAGTGGTGGAAGAAAGAAATTAGTGCCATGTCACAAATGGCAAACTGGGGCACAGAATGATTAAGTGAGTTGCCCAAAGTAAGTAAGTTGGTCACACCCAAAATCTGTGGCAGTGCTGAGAAATGAACCCACCTCTTCTTGGTTCCAGGCCAATGCCTCAACTTTTTTTCATTCAAATATTTTATGAAGGGAAGCTTCCTCTTTGGTGGTATTATAAAGAAACCTCAGTTTAGCACTGTGTCTACAGCACAACTGAAGATTTCTTCTATTAGTCAGCTCTTCATTAAATTATAGCCATAAATATCACTTGGAATGTCTGTGACTGGAGCTGCAATAAAGAACTCATATACAGATATACTCATATACAGAGAAAGATATGGCTGTCAAACAAAGAAACACTTGTTACAGATCCTATGAATGCTAGGTCTTCTCAGCACAGTGTCTGCTTAAATGTGAGCCAAATGAGCACTCAAGGCATTGACAAAAGAGTCTGTGTTTTCCTATCCTTCATCTACTTTCAGTAGCTTGGCTTATCAAGTGGGACTCAAGGGGATGAAAGGCTAAATTCAAAATGAATCTTTATACCAAGGACAACCTTAGCTACCACAGTTCTACAGGTTGTGAAAGGCTGTCCTTGGTTTAAAGATGGACCATTAAAAACAATATGTTAAATACAACTTTAAAGAAGTATGATTTGTCCACCCCATCTCATTTTCTGCTCCTTCATAAGTTTTCCTGATGTTCAGCACTCACAGAACTTGACATGAGCTGTCAAATGGTAACCAGGCCAAAATTGAACTAGCTCTCTTAGAGTGGAAAGGTTCTGCAGCCTATCGCCAATATTTTGAGGCAGCCAGTCTCCACCAAATCAAAGATTTTCCTAATGTTCTCATATGATTGTCTTCAGTAGTAAAAAGGAAAAATCAGTTAATGTATCACTGAATGACTGAGCAGTATCAGATACATACCTTTATGGAAAGCAAGAAGTGGTGAACTGTTATATGCAGTACATACACTGAAAGCTACAAAGAACTAATGCAGTTCAGAATTAAGCAGGCATCTCTGCTTTAGCTTGGGTTTGAAGTATGTTACTAGGTGTAACCCTAATATGCGAAAAGATGCTCCTGGTCTAAAGACTCACCTTACCTAAAAATTTCTCTTCAAGTTAGACAGAAACACAGCACGACATAAAATCATGTCTAAATGAATTTAGTATTTATTTGTAACTTTTAAATTGGTACTATTTACAATAAGTCTTGGAGTACAGATCACATTCAGTAATTAAGCTCTGGCAGTACTGAAGTTAGATTACTAACATGTTTGCAAATTACATTTTTAAGTCATAAAAAAGGAAAGAAAAATGACTGTAAAATAAATGTTTATCTTCAGTTACAGGTATCACAGGACAAGTTTGCAGAGTGCTGTAAAATCCAGTCAAGGAATGCTCCCCGGAAAGCATCCTGCTATGTGTGCCTGGAGTGGTGAGATGAAGAATGTTTCAGAAACACAAGCAATGGAATTCCATGTTAAGTATGGAAAGTTTAGCAGTTCAGTTATTCACAATAACCTTTCTTACACAAGCCCAATGCTAATTAATGGTCCCATTCTTCTTCTCTTTCATTGACACCCTCTTCTTCCTCTGGGAATGCTGAGTCGTTCTGACTTTTCAGATGTTTAACCCCTGCAAATATAAAGATCGTATTTAAAGACATTTATTCAAATCAGACTGGCTGTTTAAATCAAAAATCCCACAAAACAATGGAAAGGTTTTTTAAGTGACTTCATTGGTGCTGTCTTTCATAACCTTTCAATTCATACAAGCATTACATATTACACCTTTTGTGATAGAACAGTATTTCCTTCCATTCCAGGATTCCCAACAGCACTCCTGGATTGGACTAGCAATATCGCACTCACTCAAGTTAAGCACCTGAAAAGCTAAAATAATGGCAGATGGCTGTGGGTTCTTGGCCATCGGAATTTAGAACATCTGTCTAATTGCGAGTTCTGAAACGCATCTCTTGGAGAAGAGACGCAGTGCAGACACAGAGCCCAAATCCTTGTACGCTTGGTCTCAGCTGCCCCTCTCCTAAATTAATTCACCTTTTGTGTAAATTAATTAGAAGATTGTACAGGTTACTCATCCCTTGCAACATCCACAAAACTAGAACGTAACTACTCTGGGAACTTCATCTTGCCAGTGCTACAAATGTGTCACTTCCGGGCAAGTCAACAGGAGTTTTGCAATGGACTTTTGCACGCTATGGTCCTAGCGACGTGCTTTATCATTATATGAATACAACCCAAAGCATGCTTTGGGAAACAAAAACTGGATAAATCACATTCAGATTGATTTCATGTCTTCTAAATAGCACCTTTCATCTGAAACGTTCACAGAGCACTTCCTAAACTATCAGCAAAGCGCACTTTGTCCACTGTTAAAATACCATGGGGGTGAATACAAAGGCAAACGTGAAGTGGACAGCATTCTGCTCAGCCACAAAACAATGAGATGATGGTTGACCCTGGGAAATTTGGTAGGCCCACGAACACCCCTCCAAAAATGTAAACATAGCAGTCCCTGGCTCTTCCTTGTATCTATGGGTGCCTCTGTGCTAGAAAGGTTTGACACTGGCAGTTCTGGGAGCAATGAATTAAAGCACAATTCTAAAGGTGAGTAGTGCACCCAATGTGCTGTTATTCCTTCTGTTTCCCCGACTGCTGGTTACTATATTATGTTGTTATCGCTAGTTTTGCACGACCCAGCATCTGGCCAGCACCAGTAGCTGCCTGAGAGGGAATTTACTAAGTAAGCATCCCATCAAACCTCCAGGCCAATCTTCACATACAACCTAATCACCTCACTTGCAAATCAATGTCTGCTCCACTGACCGCTTAGGAAGAACTTTGTAAACAGCAGGGCAGCTGCTACAGCTAGTCAGAGGTTTCTCAAACAGCACAGGATTGGCCAAACAGAAGGTACTGTAGGAGCAAAGATGGGTGACATCATGTGGGGAATGAGGCACCTGACATGCCTCATGTAGAATAGATTGAGTGGACTGCAGATTTGAGACCACAGGGAGTAAGAACATTGGAGTTTATTGTGTCTCTATACCAGGTAGGACCCAGGCAAGAAGCGTCAATAGCCCTCATAGTGCTGTGATTTAGTTTTGAGGACTAGCTTGAAAACCCAGCCCTCCCATTGTTTTAGTCAAAGGGGGAAAATGTGACCTCAAATTTCATGCCGATTATTCATGTCTGAAATTACTCCTGGTCCAAAACAAACATAAAAGGCCTCTATGACCAGGTCTCAGCACCACCTCCACAGCCCACAATGTGTAGTCACTATATGGCTGGGACTGTATTTAGTTTCTGACTAAGTCTAACTCACTTGCCATGCAGACATGTAACCAATAATCAAAACTGACAAGACCGGCAGCGATACAAAGAATAAAATGTTTGCTTAAACAAAATTTTCTTCAGCAGTTGTTCCAAGAGCACAAATGTGTTTTTCCGTACTAGTCATGCATACTTTCATTTGCCACCTCAGCATCCCAAAATAACCGTGTCTGATTTGTAGACATCCCATTGTTATAAGCCTTAGGCCTTGTCTACGCTTGCAGCAGCATATAGGAGATGTGTAGCTACACACTGGACTGCGTAGCTTCAGGCGGCAGTGAAAGAAGCTGATAGGGGCGAGGCAGCAAGGTGTTACACTGCTAAAAATAGCACTGCAGATGTGGGAGGCACTGCTTGGGCATGTAGGGTATATACCCTAAGGTTCTTGTGTGTCTGTACACTGCTTGGCTGAGCAATGCCTCGGCCTATGCTGCTATTTATACCCATGCAGGGGCTGTACTCCACACATCATCGTAAGTATAGACATAGCCTTAGAGGCCAAGATTTTCTGAAGTGCCTTCTGAAGAACTCACAAGATTTTCCTCAATTTTTTGGCACCCAAGCTTGAGACACCTAAAAGGGGACACTTTTCAGAAAGTGTTAAGGACCTGCCCTCTGAAAATCAATAGCTCAAGCTGGACACCCAAAAATGGAAGTGTCCCCTCCCACAAAAAACAAAACAAAACAAAACAAAAAGCCCCCAAATGCCTACTCACTTCTGAAAAGCTTGGCTATTGTCATAAAACTTGGTGGAACATAATGAACTCTATCAAAGGGATGTATTAAGCCTATAATAGGCTCAGATCAATATTTGTGTCACAATGGAAAAGCTTCATACTGCGATGCTTTGATAATATGAGGCGCAGAAAGGTGAGCTCTGGTGCTTTACCCTTAATCTGTCACTGCTTCTATTCCAAGATGGGACTTGATTTCCCTTTCATAGCATGTGGCAATCCAGAGTGTGCCCTGTCACATGTGCCAGAGATACCAAAGTGAAAGAGAGCAGCTCACAGAAGCCTAGTAGTATTGTCAGTGCCATAGAGCTGGTTGGAAAGTTTCTGATGGAACGTTTTTCCCAATGGAAAATTCTGATTTGTCAAAAGCAAAATGTTTTGCAGAAATGTGTCAATTTCAATGAAAGTTTTGTTTCAAAGGAAAACTTTTTTTAAAAAAAGTGTTTTGATAAGGTCAGAATGGAACATTTAGATTTTCTCTCTCAAAATGACTTTTCACTTCAATCTTATTTTATATTACATACTAGAATACATATATTCTATTTTTTTAAAATATATATATATATTTAAAAAAAATCAAAATCAGAATGAAATGGTTCACTATTATCAAAACAAAATGTTTAAATTGACCCCAAATTATTTTTTCCCCAGAATTTCATTTGGCAGGAAACTTAATTTTTTACATTTGTTCAGTTTCATAACAGAAAAAAATTTGACATTGTGGTATTCCCTGAGAAATTAAAAATCCAGTTCCTGCCCAGCTCTATCCATCAACAATGGCAGACAATGTCATGGTAATTCTCTTAGCATGTGGTACTGTATGAAACCAACCAGTTCTAGTCTATTACTACACTAGAGTGGTTGTTTTTCTGAAGCGTAAGGGTTAAATTGTATGGGTTGCACGAAGAGCAGGCAATTACAGTCAATGGTACTTATTCAGTTTCAATAACCTAATGTGTTGTATGAGAAACACAGTTAAGGTAATTTGCCACCTTAAAAAACATGGGGACAGATACTTGTCACACATTGACAGAAATCTGGAGTAACTTTATTAATTTCAGTGGACTATACAGGGCATACCTGAGATCAGAATCTAGCCCATGGTTCTGAACCTGATAAGCATGTGCACTCAATCCTGTATAGGTAAATATTCAGATTTCACAGGCAACCTTAATTCTGGCATTTCCTAATTTTTTTAGTGATTGACTTTTTGTAATTTTTGAGGGTAATTTCCTACGTTTTTTTTAAAAAGCCAGAAAAAAATAAATATAACGTGGCATCAAATTGACCACCTACGTTCATCAGCAGGGTTGGAACCATTAGATCTACCACACCAACCTCTGTCACTTGAGCTCAAATAGTTACTGATAGCAATAGTAGGTTCTTATCCTCTATGGGTATGTCTACACTACCGCGGTAGTTCGACGGCTGGCAATCGAACTTCCGGGTTCGATTTATCGCGTCTGGTCTGGACGGGATAATTCGAACCAGGAAGTGCTCGCCGTCGACTGCGGTACTCCACCTCAGCGAGAGGAGTACCGCGGAGTCGACGGGGGAGCCTGCCTGCCGCGTGTGGACCGCGTCTGAACCGCGGTAAATTCGAACTAAGGTATGTCGACTTCAGCTACGTTATTCACGTAGCTGAAGTTGCGTACCTTAGATCGAATTGGGGTGTTAGTGTAGACCAGGCCTAAGTGGACCAGCACTAGAGGTAGATGGGACACATCATTTGGCAGTGAGTGTCACAGATATTTGCTGACAACTGAGGAAGGGTGAGACTCAGAAGTCTTGAGTTCAGTTGCAGGCTGTGGCATGTAGTGTTCTCTAATGTCCTCTGCCTGTTCCTTCCAAGTTTGATCCCTTCTGCTTCATCCACTCCAACCTGTCCCTGTCCTGCCTCTTCCCCACCCCTGACTCCTAGCCGCAGTCCCATTCTCCTTATCTAACCAGGCCCAATCTCCACTCTTTAGGCTTCTCATCCCAGTCTCCTTGCACAGCCAGGCCTAAGTTTCCTCCTCCAAGCTCCCCTTCTGAGTTCGACTCTCTCCCCAGTCCCAGTCTCCATGCCCGGGCAGTTCCAGTCTCCCCCTAGCACCCAGTCCCCTTGTCCAACCAGGCCCAGTCTCCCTTCCTGGTTCCTACCTCTCCCCTCTGCAAATTCATCTCTTGTTGTTTCTCACTGGAGAAGCTATATATGCACATTTGCTGTACCTGTTTAATGAACACGAAATAAAAAGATCAATCAGAAATTGCTAGGAGCCAGAATATTTCGTATTGAAGGGTTGGGTTTTTTTAGGAGATGAAACAAGAGCTATGGCTAAAGGGGAGGACACAGGACATAAGACCAGTATGATGTAGTTCCGTGGAATGACATTTTGGTAAGAGTGACGTTTATTTTTTAGGGTGCAATTCCAAAGTGGGAGTTACGCTATTGAGTGAGCATTGCACACTGAACTTTTTGTTTCTCATGTAAACCTGTGTTTTTCGTAAGGAAACAATCAGTGTTAAGTACTGATCTCACCGACCTATAGCCCACCATCACCTTTGT